TTGAGACATAAATCAAGTTCAGCCCACAACCTACGTAATGAGCTGTAGTATTGGGTGACATCGGATTCACCTTGTCGTAAGGAACGTGCCTTATTGCGTAATTCAAACAATTGAGCCGAGTTATCAAAATCAGAAAAAGCCATAGTGAGCGCATTCCAAAGATCCTTTGCTGTTGAGTAGAAGATGAAGGATTCTTTAATGTCCTCCTCCATCGAGTTAATGAGCCATGCCATGACCATTGAGTTTTGTGCATCCCACATGGAAAAAGAAGGGTCAGCTTCATCTGGTTATGCTATCGTGCCATTGATGTACCTGAGTCGACTGCGGCCACGAATAACTAGGAGGGCCGATCGAGACCATTGCAGAAAATTTTTTCCGTTGAGTTTTGGAGAGGTAATTTGGAGCGAAGTGTTTTCAGAGATAGAGATGTGAGGTATCGTGGATGTGCTTTTAGGGAGAGAAATTGAGGTCGTATTCGATCCGTCGGAACTCTCATCCTTGCGCACATCAGTCATCATGGCTGTTTTAACCATTCTGGTGTCAATCTAAACCTAGCTCTGATACCATAAAAACTAAGGATAGAGACACCAGAGAGACATACACGAGAAAAGAGAGAAGAAATAAATTCTCCAATTGATTGATCAAAGATGAGGAATAGAGGCACTATTTATAGGTTACAAGAGGAAACAAAATCTAGGAATAACCTCCTAACTTCCCTAACAAAAAAGGAGATTTATTTGCTAAATTTAAACACAAAATCTAAACAACTTTAAAACAACTTCTAACTAAGTCCACATAATCTTAACTTCTAACTAATTCAACACTTTTTTTTCCCCTACTTCATACGTTTTTCACAACAAAGATGAACCAGCCTGATAAAAGAGTCACCCACTAGAGTGAAAAGGAAAGGAGAAAGGGGATCTCCTTGTCTTAAACCTCTTGTCGCCTTAATTTTGCCCATTGGCCTACCATTAATAATAATCGAGAAATTTGCTGAGGATAAGCAACCCCTAATCCACATTCTCCAACGCTAACCAAAGCCTTTTTTCTCCAACACCGCGTCAATAAAATCCCAATCTACCTTGTCATAAGCTTTCTCATAGTCAAGTTTGAGAAGAAAGTCTGATTTGTTTGAAGACCGGCAATCACCCACCGCCTCAGCAGCAACTAAGATGACATCCAAAATCTGCCTTCCTTCCACAAAGGCTGTTTGGACGTCTGCTATAATGGAAGGAAGGACCTTTTTTGAGTCTGTCGACCAGGACTTTTGCAATGATCTTGTACAAGGAAGAAATCAGACTTATAGGACGATAATCACTTACTCTGTTCGCTTGCAATTTCTTTGGAATTAAACACACATAAGTCTCATTAGTGCGCGCGTTAATGATGCCATTCCTAAAAAACTCTTGGAACACCTTAAGCAAATCCGACTTTAAAATGTTCCAAGCTTTTTTATAGAATTCTGTTGTCATTCCATTTGGACCCGGGGACTTCAAGTTTCCCAAATTCTTAACTGCCCTATATATTTCTTCCTCTGTGAAGGGAGATTCAAGCCAACATTGCCAATGCGAACTTAGGAGGGACCACTCTAAATCTTCAAAAATGAATCTCTGGTCTTCTGCCCTGGAGTACAACCTTGAAAAGAAATCAAGGATTTCCTTTTCAATTTCCATCTCTGAGGAAAGAATTTGTCCATTACTATCAACTAGAGAGCGAATGGCAGCTTTATTTCTCTTTCCTGACACCCATTTGTGGAAGAAATGGGAGTTTTCATCGCCATGCTTTAGCCACTGAAGTTTGCATTTTTGGGCCCAAGATTGCTGCTCCTTTAAGGTTAAGTCCAGAAGATTAGCTTTAAGTGAGAGCCTCAAGGTAGAACGGGAGGGGTCTAAAGTCCCCATTTCCTCCTCTTTGTCTATCTCATCAATCTGATCAAGAAAACTTTTCTTAGAAAGAGCCACATTCCCAAATTCTTCTTTGTTCTATTGTATAAGAAACTTCTTCAAGCCTCTCAGCTTTTCCATAAAGGCAAACCCTGGCCAGCCATTTGAAGGCAAAGAAGCCCACCAGCCTTCTACTTTTTCCATAAAATTAGGGTGGTCGAGCTACATGCTCTCAAACCGAAAGGGAGAAGGACCCCATTTTTGAAGACCTAAATTTAGTTGAAGAGGGTAATGGTCCAAGTGGAACGCGTTTGTCTGTACAAGGTTGACTCTTTAAAATGCTAAGACCATCTTTGGGTAAGGAAGAATCTTTCAATTCTGGTTCCAGTTGGAATTTCTCTAAAGTCTGACCAAGTGAAGGAGTCATTCTTCAAAGGAACTTCTTCCAAATTGCTGTCCTCTACAAATTCATTGAAGTCTCTCATACTTCTAGTAACTCTGCCCCCTCTCGATTTTTCTATTGGACTTCTAACAACATTAAAATCACTTCCAACACACCAATCTTCATTGCATAAGCCAGCTAAGTCCCGCAGCTCTTGCCAAAAAAGATCTCTCCCCACATTAGAGGAAGGGCCATATACCCCAGAAATCCAACCTTGGAACCCGTCTATAAATCCAAATAGAATCGAGACTGAAAAATTACCCACAATAGAGTCTTCTACAACAATGCTATTCTCATTCCACATCACTAAAATACCACCCGAAGAACCTTAAGCATCAAGAGAGATGCATCCAACGTATATAGAGCTCCAAATGGATTTTATAAGCTTTCTATCTACTGAAGCTAATTTAGTTTCCTGCAATAACACAACGTCAGGGCTAACCGAATTCAAGAAATCCTTGATGAGCACTCTTTTGGAGGGGGCGCAGATCCCTCTAACATTCCAAGAGATAATCTTCATAAAGTAACCGTCTTCCCTCAACTAAGCTACTGGTTTCCTTCTCTACTTCCTTTTCCCAAGTTCTGAGAAGATTACAAAGTTCTCTAGATTCCTTCTTTTTTGCTGCGCTACCCGCTTTAGAAGGAATGGCCATGATGCACAAATTATGTTTTTGAAGATAGAAGACCATTTTCCGGGTGAAAGAGAAATTATTTGTCGAGTCTTCATCATCCTCTTCATCTGAATAAAGCTCCATTTCTTGGTTTTGAGCCTCCTGACCGTCCTACCTCAAAACAGGCATATTTCCATTTTCAATTGGGGTTTGAACCTTCTCTGTTTCTTTATCTTTCTCTAGTTCCTGAAAAACGTTAAAAAACTTAGAGGGAGGGGGGTCATCTTCCTAAGATAAGGGATCCTAGAGCTTTTGCACAATCTCCAAATCAAGACTATGATGCTCACTATCGATACTAGAAAAGGAGAAGTCAGACATCATCTCACATTCTTTTTCTTTTCCTTTTCTGCTTTTTCCRGTGGAATTGGGGGCAATTTTGATATTTGTATTCATAGTGGAGCAAACTTTCCCTTTCTTCTGAAAAAGTCTCATCTGGTTGCTTTTTGAAAAGGAAACAGACTTTCCTTTTTTGTTTTGATCCGTGACAGAGTTGTCAATTTGAACAGGGGCATCCTTTGAAGCAGTGCCTCGGGCAGCCAACTCTGCAGTGGGATCCACCAAGTCAATACTTGTCCCAAAGTTGCACGAAAAAGGAGGATGTGCAGCTTCTCCTGTCAAATCATATCTCACAGTCAAATGATCAGTACTCATAGAAATAGGAGGGGGATAGAAAACATTGACCGATGGGTAAAAGAAGCCGTCTTGAATTCTCCAAGAATCCACTGGGTTTAAAGCTGTACTTTCCAGCCCTTTGTAAAAAATCTCTGCCGCTTACGACGAGAAACCGCCGTGGATCTTCACCTTCTTTCCAATAAGCAGCGAGTTGTCTTGGAAAGTACTTACATGGGCGACAAAGGTGTTATCGAGATCTACAATCTTCACTTCAGTTGGGATGAAGCCACAATAGTTCCCTTTTACTTTAATGACAACCTCTGTGCAATCTATCAAAGAGGAGTTCGAATCCGCGTAGTCTAAGAAACCTCCATAACAGTTACCTATTGTTTGGAAGGTAGCCAAACTCCAAAGGTGGAGGGGGATATTTCTGAACTTGATCCATCATCCATAAGACGGAACCACTGTAATACGACCATGTAGGAGTGGGTTCCAAAGTTCTATTTTCAAATTAAAGGACCGAAAGTGACCCAGCCTTTATTGCTTACAAGAAGTCTCACCGTTTCTTCTAAGGGACATTTAAGGAGGGCTTTGTCCAGTTGAAAGGCATTGATGATGAAGGACTCTTCTGTTTGTCTTTGGATAAATCCGCAGATTCTGCCCCAATCATCATGAAAATCCCTTCGAGTCACTACAACTGTTCTTTTCCAATCTAGAGCACTCACCTCCTTTGGCTCCAAAGAGCCAGGCTCCTTTGTACTCTCGTTTTTGGTTAAAACCTCCACAAAAGATCTCTGGGCATTGGGAGCCTTTGGGCAATGAGGTGCTGGACCTTCCTTAACCTTTCCATTCATGAAATCCAGGAGAAGCCTTTTAAAGTCCGCCCATCCATTTGACCTTTCTCCTGACGGAATAACTAAATTTCTTTTATTCTCCGTTCCATGAACTTTTGTTAACTCCAGAAAGCTCCCTCTCTTATTCGTTGTTTTTTGCATCCATATGAAGTCGTCGTTGCAATTTGTTTTTCTAAAGAACTTTTGAGTATTGGGCACCAATAGGAGTTCCTCAAGTCCGTCGACAATCCACACTGCCACTATCTCTTCAACCGTGAGAAAAAAGGATCTTCGCAGATGTGTTTCTTGAATCCTTAGAAAACGACCTTTTTTTCAGAATCAAAAGTCCATGAGAACACCTTGTTTTCTATCTTTACCCAAGTTGCTGACACCATTTTTAGCACCAAGGTGAGGGAGTTCATCGGAGAGAAGCTTGCCGGAGGTGGAGGGGAAGGAGTGGAAAAGGGGATGGGATGCGGGAGAGAAAGAGAGCCATCATTAGCGTTCATCATTATTCTTATTATTATTTTGCCAAACACACTAGATTTTTGAGAAAGCATTTTTGGTCCTCCAAAATCACTCACAAATTTAATCCAAATACACTGTCTATATGGTGAGAAGATGTGGTACAAAATACATTATCATTGGCAATTATTTGAACCAAGAATTACGAGTTTTCCCTTTACAACAATCAAATGAAATCAAACTATATGTATCAGACATGGAAGCAACTATACAAATGATCTATGGCGGATGCAGAATAAATCTGTTGTCACAAAGCAGGACGCTGAAGCTGAGCCAGCCATGGAAGGAGTTTTTGGTGCACTAATTCAGGTCTATCATCATGAGGGCAATGTCCTACTCCTTTCAACACAAAAAGACTTACATTCGGAAATTCCATAGATAACTTAGAGAAGTACCTTCCAACAGGGCCATCAAGTGGGGTGAATGGATCTTCATCTCCCCACAAAATCAGAACAGGCACAGAAACTCTTGGCATCAGTTGCACCGGGCTCGGTCCTGGTGGCCCCGTCACGATCGAAACGAAAGCATCAAGTGCTCCTTCATCATTCGCTGGCTCCACAATTATCTGTAGTTATCAGTTCAAAAAACGGTTAGAAGTTAGAAGATTAATAATCCGAGGAAGAGGAGATAAAGGGGACCCTACGTCTATCAGATCTTCATCCACACTTTCCTTGTTTCCATATACAGACAACAAAATGTTCCTCAAGCTATCTCTGCGGAGAAATATTGCACTTTCTCACTTTAGTTTTCTCCTTCATGAAAAGTTGATTATAAGTAAACCAAATACAAATACCTCTGTTTCACACGCTCGAACAGCACTGAAGCAATTCCCCGTTGCTTCAATAAGAAATCGACCAGCCAAAGCAAAGGTAATAACAGCTTGATCCTCCAATCATCGACGATTGCTTTATTGTTCATACCACCAGCACAGTTCAAAAGCACAAGTCCTTGAACTAGATTGCGACTAGAATCTGGCTTCATGGGAAAATAAAACACCTCCATAAATAAAGAGTGCTTTCTACGGATTTATTTCTGTAAATTTTGACTTCCCGCACCTGAAGCAGCAATCACACAGGCAAGGCTTCCCACTGAGTTGCCCACTAGCACCGTTGGCTTCTTAATAACTTGATCCACAAAATCCAATATCAACTGTCACCAATGAATACAGGCCACGTTAGCGAGTTCCTATTGATCAATAATTTGTCATAGAATAAATACAGAATTGAAGCTTCCATTTGAACGTACATGTGCCCATGTTTCCATGGTATATGCAAAGCCAGCAGGCTTATCGGAAGCACCAAAGCCAAGAAGGTCGATGGCATAGACAGTTGAATATTGAGACAATGTGCTAATATTCCTGAAGAAATAATATATCAGGACTTGATGACATGCATAACGAGAACAACAAATCTCTGGATAAAGGCATACTGACTGTTTGATGTATGACCCAGTAGTTCGCTGGAATAAAGTGTAGTGGCAGTTCACTACACTGATGAAAGGCTTGTACTCATATACCACAACAAATCACCCAAGTCTACTCAATTAATCTAGGAAAATTAATGATTTACGATCACTAATAACTAACTCAATTTAATTAGATACTGTTACATACGCTCTTAATTTAATTCAAAAATCCAAGGATTACCCAGAAAAAGAATGAAGAGCAGCAGAAGAATACAACAACGAAGGTCATAGTGGTTCGGTTATTCACAGCCTACGTCCACTAAAGTTCAGGCCTCCATTACTCATATTTTTTACAAGTAGAACTACAAGCTCAATCCCTCAATTTCCTTCTCTCCCTCTCTGCCCTTTTTCCCACACTGTACCACATGCACTCTCTCCTCTCATAGTTTCTCAATCTGTTATATGCCACACTATTCATGAGTTTTAGTTGCTAACGGAATACATTTAAGAAATGCACTAAACTGAATAACTGTTGACTATCTTTCTATTTATTCTTTAGCTACCTTTTTAATATTCATTTTTTGAATTACTATACTTACTTATGCTTTAAATGTTAAGTAATACAGGGCATAAATTAAGAATAATTAGTAGAATCTGGAAAGTGATGAAACAAAAGAATGAGCAGGCCATAGGATAGTGCATGAGCTGCAAATGAGATACAAGTTTGCAAACATTATTGAAGAGTAAATTTTGCAATAATACGTGGCATTATTAGTAAAACAATGTCTGAAAAGGTTAAGTTGGATCATTCAAGTGCAAAACCATTAACAGCAATAATCAACAGTTAACAACACCAAAAGCCTCCTAAAAAACATCGACAGACAGAGCAAAGAGCACAAATGTCAGTGACAGACGATAAGCCCCGCCACCAAAATGCACCATACTAGACTTCTTTAACCATAGTGAAAGAATAATGTGCGAATTTTCATCCTTTAAAATTAAGTTATATATGCAAGAAACCCTATAAATTTAACGTTTAAAAGTAAATAAAGTGGAGAGAAAGATGTGGACCTGCGCCAATGAGGAATAGAAGCTCCAAATCCATGAACTAAAAGGACGATGGGAGGATTTGAACTTGACTGCGATTGTTGTTGAGAAGGTTGATAATGAGAAACGAAATAGTTTATGGAGTACTGGTTCCATTGCCACTTGTTGGATCTCTCCCGTATTTCTTGCACCTCCAGGGCAGCCCCAATGGCCACAGATGCTGATGACGTTGCAGTAATTACCGCTGCACCCGCAGATTGATTCTTACTAAGACCAACAAACCCACCTGCCCTGTGGCTGTGTCTAACAAAGCAGTTCCTCTTTTTCTGAACTATTTGCTGGAAATTCACATCCACCTGCAATCAAACGAAGCCTGAATCTGGTCCCGTTACTCTTATCCCCATTTTAACAGTAAAATTTCTCTCTAATGCTTGCTACTCGCTAGTTTATTCATTTATTTATTGTAATTGTTATTGTTATTATTTGATCATTATTGATAAAATAACCTTATTGAAAGTAGGTAAAGATTTTTTACCCAATGATCAAAATAGGAAAAACGAAAAAAAAAAGGAAACTTTGCTGTTATCCATAAGTAAAATGGCCTTCAACCCTTAAAAAAGTTGAAAAATAGCAGACATTCTCTCGTCAAACAAATTTTCCCCACAACTTATTCGGTTTTTATCAAAACTGACAGTTTTAATGTGTATTTTTAACCCACTGTCCACTGACTCAGAAAAAAAGAAAAAGAGAGGATTTTTGGATTGCCTTCTACATCTCTCACACATCTCTCTCAATCAATCTTTCCAAAAAAATCCATAATGATGAGCTTGAGAGAGGAAAAACCATTGCTAAAGAGGAATTGAAATTTGAAAGAAATAGCAATTATCGAAGAAGGCAAAGATTGTGAGAGAGATGGACAGCGTTTAGTGGATTGTAGAGTGAACAACCAAAAAATCATTTTCGTTCAGGTTTTTAATTTTCCAATTTACGTATGGGATTTTATACAATTTTGATGGAGAAGAGTTTTCTAAGTTGATCAGAACAGCCCACGTTCATTCTTGGGTGTTGTGGAGATCTCTGTTGAGCACTAAGTCTCCAACTAGGAACTCTCTAGGGTGTACATAGGTCTTTTGTCCAAGATTTCACGCATGGCTAGGTTGTTCTACTCTTTAGAATTTGATCTAGAGGTTTGACCAATTCGCATAACGACTTTTGTGAGTATAACAACCCCTACTCTAAATGCTAGAGTGAAACGGAGTCTTGGCAATGAGAGCTCATTGTGTGGTTCTATAAGCTCAAAGTACCTCATGTAGTTCCTCTGTCCATATGCCTTTATCTCTCTATAAATCATCTTCTTAAGGTTGCCTAATTTAGGAGTTGGGTGGGGTTCATATAAAAGCATTTAGGAGATGGGGTGGGTGGTTCCCTTTTTTATTTTTCTTTTCTGATATCCGTATTGTTCCAGCCAACTTGCGCACATCTCGACTAATCTCACGGGTGGGTGGGGATCTTTCTACATCTTACTGTTTCAGCGAGTCGAGAGTTCATTAACATCTTAAAATGCATCTAAGAGTTGGGTGGGAGCTCACATGAATCTTATAGTGCATTTAGGAATTGGGTAGGGTAGGTACCTCTTAGAGTGTATTTTGGAGTCGGATTTCACATCTTAGAGTGCATTTTGGGAGTTGGAGGTGCACTGAGAAGTTTTTTTGGGCAAATTTAAGTTTAAAGTACATCATGTCAATTTTGAAGTGCGTTTAGGAGTTCTACAAATGCATTTAGAAGACGGTTGGAGTTTCGTCTTTTGTCTTAGTTAGAGATCGTTTGGGCAAATCTTTTGCAGTCATCTTGAATGGATAGATTGTAACCTCTCCGCGTCACACTCTCCCTAAATTTTCTAACCCTAAATCCTACAAGTGTTCGACAACAGAGAATATAGTTTTGCAATTGCAGGAGAATTCTTCAAATTGAGGAAACCAGTTAGTTCATGTTCAAATATTAACACCATAAGAAAGAAGAGATGAAGAATGTAGTCACCCTAGAAGCAATAGTGGAGCAAAATTGCGAGAGAAAGGAGTAAGCGGAGACGGAACCCAGCGCTGCAGAAAACATTGGAATGTTGAGAATTGAGAATCAGTTGACGGAGCATTTGGATTGGGCTCCAAATGCGAACTCGCGGGGGACGGGATCGGTTTTTGCGTGGCAGGAAAACATACACGTATGACCTTTTTTTTCTCTTTTACAATTTACAATCGGACAACATTAGGTTATTAAATTATCCTCGGCAGGTGATGTTCCAATCGATATTTTCTAATCTGAATGAGTTTGACATCGATGTAAGAAAGATATCAACCGTTGATGTTAAATTCTACCGAGTTTTATAGGTTGACCTGCGTTGAACTCGATCAAACTACGAAGGAGAGAGCTATGATAAGTAAGGGTTCAGGTTGTGGTAGGTCGTACTTAAACAGAATAACATACATGTGTGGGAGAAGTGGTGTACCTTTTATAGGTAAGGGGACAAGTCCATTGAGCGATAGGAGGTTGGAATGACGGGCTATTGGGCTTGAGGTTGGCTGTCGGGGCTTGGGGTTAGTATTCTCAGGTCGATTGAAGATAATTTAGAGGATTTCCCGTATGATCTGGTCTCAATTAGCCCTTAAGTGTAGGTCGATCTTCTCATTTTGGTTGAATAATCAATCCAGGAGTTACCAAGCTGAGCTGATTTGCATGTGGATATCATATCCACATGCTGAATTCTATCCTCTAATATCAATATTTCCACAGTATCACACAAAATTTTACATATATATAGATATAATATTAATAATAAGAAGTTTTAACTTATTTAAAATATCTTTAACTAATACACTTGATACATGTTTTGGTTGGTATTTTGTATGCTAGTTTTTTCTTCTTCTTCTTTTTATTTTTTTTATTTTTGAGAATACATTACGGTTAAAGTTACGGAAAGGAGATTCAAATCGTTCACTAGTGAAAAATGTTACGAATGTCTCAACCATTCAATTATGCTTACACTGATATAATTCTATACAACTTTCATTTATTCTCAGCGTGTCAGAAAGTTTAAGAATATCTAGTATTTGGTATTAAAAAAAGAGAAGAAAGAATAACTAGTATTTTAAGTTTTAGCATAGTTATTGCTTCGGAGGTGTCCGTTTTGAATTCTTAGTTTTGGTGCTTCCTTTGTATTCAAATATAAAGTAATTAATTTAAACATTGAAAATCAAGGTAAGATGTTTGAATATCTTTTGAAAAAAATAATTAGATTTTAGTTTGTGATTTTCATTTTAGTCTATTTAAGCTTAATATAAAATTGATCCAGGTTGATGACTAATTTTGGAGAGATCCACATATCCTTTAAAAGCATGGATCACCGAAGGACAAAAGAGTCTGCAACTAGAAAATTCGACGTCGGTGCGGTGTCCCGCCTAATACACTCCGACAATCAAGTCAGTAATCGAAGCCAAAGAAAATGAAAGTGGACACCTTAGGGTTTAGTGACATATTTTTCATTTACTTGGTAATGAAGATGTCATTCCCTTTTATAGACGGAGATGGCCAACCAAGAAATACGACGATTATAGGCATAGAGGCACGTCGAGCTGTATGGGGTACCGTCAAAGGGGAGTGGACGTCTTCCACAATCAGTGGGTGGCGCCTCCCCCAGTAGCCGCAGGCCTCAGGTTGCAACCCTTTTCACTCTACTCGTACAACTTTGATGGTGACACGCCCGTACGCACCCATAGTGTACGTTGCTAACCGTCCGCCGTCTCACGCCTTGCTGTCACCCTAGCGCTCGACAGACATCTTACTAGGCTTTCTCCCTCAACAATCTATATATTTTTTAAAATTATAGTCCTTATAATTTGGACATTGGAGAGAGGTGAATAGACTAGAATTTATTATAAGGTATGGGTGAATGTTAAACTAGTTAAAGATGATTGTATTAAAGTCTAAATTGGGTACTTCATAAAATAAAATAAAAAGAGTCTAAATTGGGTTAAAAAAAAAGTGTCAAAATAAGCATCTAATTTCTACTCGCGGTTATAGATTCAAATCCCTCAAGTCGTATATATGATATAAATATTCCTAAGAAAACAAGTTTGGCAGACATCTTAAAAAGTTCTAATTACAAATAATTCACTCATTCACATCAGAAAAAATGTTAAAATTTATTCGGTAAGAA